GTTTGTGGCTGAATGGCTTGATTCCTGATATCTACTGCTCCTCTCTCCTCTTAGCAGTCCTTAAAATCCCACGTCCAGTCTGCCCAATTAGACTATAAGCGTTCTAAGGTAGGTACTGTGTTCTATGGGTCTTTAAAATTTTGACACCTAAGATTATATACTCAATGAATATCTAATGAGTTTAACATAACTCATGTTGCAGAGTGTTTTACAAATGTCCTCCATTGTATACATCCAGTCATGCTGACCTTCCTGCTTTAGCACATACTGTTCTGTGTCACTTATCTAAAATATCCATTCTACCACCATTCCCTTATTCTTTACCACAGAACTCTATCTCCTTCATAGTACATATCAGAATTTCTAAGTGAACTCTAAGTTCCATTATGGCTGGGCCCCCATCTGTTGTTCACCCCTGAATTCTCAGTGCCTACAAGAATGCCTGACGCATGGTATATACTTACTAAATATTTGTTGAACAAATGAATACAATTCGTATAAAGACATGGCTAATTGGGGCGCCTGGGTGGCTCAGTCATTAAGTGTCTGCCTTTTGCTCAGGTCATGATCCGATCCCAGGGTCCTGGGATCAAGCCCCGCATCAGGCTCCCTGCTCCCCGGGAAGCCTGCTTCTCCCTCTCCCACTCCCCCTGCTTGTGTTCCCTCTCTTGCTGTCTCTCTCTCTCTCAAATAAATAAATAAAATCTTTAAAAAGAAAAAGAGAACATGGCTAATTAACTGCCTGAGACAGGTCTAAGACTAGGTCTTCTTTTATTCCAATGCTCTTTTCATCATGCCTCACCTTTTATAATATGCTATTGTACTGTGCGTATATAGCATATATAAACTGCCATTCATTTAAATGATTCCAACTTCTTGTGACCATTACATCTGCACTATATAAAAAAAAATCTCTATTTTGCAATACAAGCCCAAACACATTCATTGTTATTTAAAGATGTGCATAAATAACACAAAAACTTCCCTGCTATCCCATATTATGTACAGATTCAAAATACTGTATCTTTCTAGGAACTACAGACTCTTATATTTTAAAAGTTAAAGAAGTTAAAGAAGTTAGGTATGTGGTATGTTACTGAATAACTCAGCTAAGAGACTAGGCTTGAGCCAATCATTGGTTCAAGTCATACCTTTGCTGTATAATAAATGGGCAAGTTACTCCAAACTTCAGTTGACTTACTGTAAAACAGGGATAACGCTAGTACTTGACTTAGGTTCATAACAAAGATAATAGTTTTATGTATATATGTAAACCACTCAACAGTGGAAATTAAGTGCTAAGTAAAGTGGTATTTTAAGTACAAAAAAAAAAAGTAGTTTGTGGCATTAAATGCCTGTGTCTACACATTAATGGACAAGTTATTTCCCCAGAGTGTAGAGTTCCCACTGCTGCATAGTTTTAATATAATTTATTTCATGAAATAGTTGATAATGGGATTTTAAAGTTTATTTATTTATAATCTCTACACCTAATGTGGGGCTTGAACTCACGACCTGGAGATCAAGAGTTGCATACTCGGGCGCCTGCGTGGCTCAGTTGGTTAAGCGACTGCCTTCGGCTCAGGTTATGATCCTGGAGTCCCGGGATCGAGTCCCGCATCAGGCT